CTTGGTCCCACAAGCTTTAGCTTGGTTCCACAAGCTTTAGCAAAAGGACTCTGAAGTGACAGTGTCATTGCTGTCACTTTTGCAAAACCGTAGATCTCCACTAGTCCTATGAGTTTTAAAGCCATCTAGCAAAATCAGTGATGTACGTGTACCAGCATAACTTCTGCTCTAATTGGTTTATCTTGTTTCCATACAGACACTAAATCTCTTTCACAATCACCTCTCTTCACTGACAAATATTTTTCCACAGTAAATCATTCATTCTCAGCTGCGCACACTTCCAGACTCCTGTTAGACATGTTCTATGGGCTGGATTGGGGTTTTTTCCTTATATTTCAGTCCTGAGCTTTGCGATCATTAAACATTTCCAGTGACAACATGACGCCTTTTTTTTTTTTTTAACAGATAATTTATTTGCAACAGTAGTGTGAGATACAGTAGAATACAAGTGGGAACCAGATAATCATGTATTATTTTATAGTGTATATTTCAGTAGATTATTCCAAATGTTACATATGGAAATTTTATCTTCTATAACATTAGTTCTGATATCATGGTGACTAAGCATTTCAACAATAAGCAGTCTTGTGGAAAAATTCATGTACATAGTTTGTGCTACTTCATTTGTCCTAAATTACAGACTGCATCTGTATGATTTAGATCATATAAGTGGGTAACAAATAGTTCAGTCTATATTTGCATCTTGTTTATTTAGTAAGTCCTTAAGAAACTCAGATACACACAGGTTGATTTGAGATACAAAAAATTGTGCACGGTGTTTTCATCTCTCACCTTGAAAAGACAGGTTCACAATGGTAAATTCTCACATATTTTATTTAGATTAAAAATATTGGATGGTATATAATATCCTGGACATGTTACACAGACTGCAGATAAAACATTGCAGAGCACAGCAGCACCTGCTCTGCCACCAAGCACTAGAAAGGTGGAAATTTGAAGGCCATCTAGTTTTCTAAGCAGATACTGTGACAATTATTAATAATGAGAAATAAAAAACATTTTGAAAAGCTCATATGCAAATGCACGTGACAAGCCTAAACACTGCATGAGATGAGTCTCGTTCCTGCTTCCACTGAATGAATGAAAGATAGAGCTCCAAAATACTTCAACAGGAGAAGGGTTATGATGACAACTCAAATGCTGCAGGGTTTCTTTTTTCCTTCTTTTTTTTTTTTCTTCTTTTTTTTTTTTTCCTGAGAATAGTTAGAATTTGGCAGATAAACTTCTCAGAATTCATGCAACCTGAAACATATTTGTGGGCCTCAGGGTAACCAGCCTTAGCTTCCATCCTTTCTTTTCTGAAATCCAATGATTAAATTATTTTGAATGTGTTTGCTAAAGTGCAAATACAGCATTGGAAGCAATCATGCCATCATGGAGGAGTGAGACTCATCCATGGTGTTTTTGGTACCCCACAACGACGACATGCCTGGAACTTCCGGTGATTTCCATCCACCAACACAAAGATATTTACCATTTCCCACCCCAACCAATAAACACTTTAAGAGGACACCACATTATGTTATGAGGTGCAATTTAAGAGCTTTAGAACATAAGTCTCAAACAGTATTAAAGTACACGTTTTAAAATCATATTAAGGCAGAAGTATTTCCAATCCATAAAAAAAGGTCATGCTAGTCTATTATTTAACCAAATGTGACTATCGTAGGGTGATGATACCACTGCAAAACAACTTAGAGAAGCACACATCCCTGCAGGTCAAAGCTAAATCAAGTCCTAAGGGATGCTGAAGAGTGATGTTCCCTTACATGGATGGTGATCTCTTGTAGTGGGGCAGAACTGGCTGTGATGACAGCCACTCCTAGCGATTTACTTTAGGGTGGGTCATAAACCTCAAGTTGAATGCATTTCCTTCCAGAATTAAGTATCTTGCTGAAAGAATCTGATTTTGGAAAAAACACAGCAAAGTGCAAGAAAGAAGCCGTCAGGCCCTAAAAAAGCTCAGGATCATTTCCACTGTAGTCAATGACAAAGTCTTCCATGAGTCTCGTTCTGTGGGAGCAGGAGCAGACCTACTATATCTTGCTTTCCTACTAATATCCAATGGCATGGCAACAACCTTCACTGTCTAGTGGTCTCTTTATTTTAGCTTCCCTTCTTTCCCCTAGTCTTTTCAGAAGCCTCAGTATCTTATCTCTGATACTCCCTTTGAGCAAGGAGTTCTCCTAGGACTGGTTCTGAGTGCTTGCCACACTTCATTAACAGAAAGTGTTTCAAGGAAAAAAGCCTCCTGAGGTGGCTGGTGCTATGCTCGTGTTATGCTCACCTTGGCAGCAGAATCAGTCTGGCTGAGGAAAATCAAGCCTTTTGTGTAAAGGACCCTTAAGCATAAAACAAATCACAGTTTCTTATTTAAATAACACAGTACCATGCAAAATTCACAAATTAAGAGCTTCTAAGGAGTGTCTTTAAATACAAAAATGCAAATCTTTGCTTAAAAACCCACCAGTGCTATGTGTATTACTCATTACTTTACATGTTTAAGCCATGCAAAAGGTTTAATCAAAGTGTCCCTTTAATGAATACAGCATTTGAAGGAAAAAAAAAAAAGCCAGAACAAACGCCTAGACAAGAACCTCCACAAGTTTTTATCCTTCTCATTGAATATATTAAGCATGGTATTTGCCCATCTGAGCAGAGGTATGCAGGGGTCTAAACACCACACTGGTGTTGCCCTTCCCCAGGAGACTTAGTCCTTTGCTGTGGGACGGAGCTCTTAATCTGCGATTTGACATTGCCCCTTGCAGGTCCCTAACCACGCTCATGCCCTTGAACTGTGATGCTGTCACTCTGTTGGGGCACAGCTAAGGACAAATGTCAGCTGTTTTACCAGACTCCCCAGGCAGCCACTGCTGTGATGCTGCAACAGGTATGTGATGGGGAGGAGGGAGGGAGGGCTCATGCGTCAGAAGCGGGGCTGTCGCTGGGTCACCCAAAGGGGCCCTGTCCTGTGCCTGCATTTGCTACACACTCTACCTGGGTGGAATAAGGGAGACATCACGGCCCGACTGCAGATGCATGAAGGAGTCACAAATCTCATGCTCAATGCAGGGAGCTTGTGCCACACTAACAGGGTTTAAGACAAGGAACTATGAAAATGAGTATGGCAGGACATGCTGGGACTATGCAGTGCTGCAAGTTGGGATAGTAAAATCGCCCTTGGATCACAGTGCACTGATTTGTGGGTAGCAGTGGTTTATTATCTCATTAGAAACATCTAATTCCCTGTAATAAAGATTGCATGTAGAGTGTGTCAAAGAACAGACAAGGCTATTACAGCCCACAGTCAGGACTAATGCTTTTTTCCCCCTCTTATTGCTAAATAGGCAGGAGTAGCTTTTCAATTTCAAAATAAAAACTATATAATTACAGTAATAATACCACGCTCCTAACTGCTCTGCAGCTGCATATTGTAAAACTCAACGCCACCGATCAGAAACAAAAGCAGTAAGTCAGTAACAGCTTTACAGAAATGTTCTGCTGGGGTGATTATGTCTGTCAAAACACTTCTATAAGGGAAAGACTGATTACTGAATATATTTCATGTCCCTTTCCCCCTAAAGAACC